CCAAGAATCGGCAGAAAGTTAATAGAGCGCGCAAGAGCTACGCGCTGGGACCGCCTGGCACTTTTGACCTAGTGGCCTATTAAGCCTAAAATTAGGCCGCGAATCAAACACACCCACCCTTGTTCAGTCTGTCAGTTGCTACGGGCAATAAATGGGCAACCCCTGCATTTCTTAGAAGGAACTCCGAGGTGCACGCAGATTTTCTAGTCGGTCTTCTCTAAAATCTGCGGAGACCGAATGTTTTGCTTGCGGCGAGCCAAATGGGCCCTCAAGCTGACAGCGCATTGCAGCGCGCCAATCACTATTTTTAGCAGCAAACACAAACCAAATGCCATCGCCGGCTCGGATCTTTTTATTATTTACACACACTAGCATTCGCCGGCGTTTCCAACTGCCGGCTGCCGAAGATTTCATGCGGCACGAGACGTTTAGTAATTTCGTCTGACCGAGACGGTTCGCAGACACTCTTTTAATTGTGCAGCTTTCCTTACCTACGTGTACTTTTAGTTCAACGGAATTGCAGATCAATCCCACTGTACATAATTGATGTTTATTTTCCTACCCACTGGCCTAGTTTTCACAAAATCGAACAAAAGTGCAGTGATAGTTTAATTAAAAGTAAAGTTTCGTCGACATTTTTAAAAGATGTCAAATTGCACTTACTCAGGAATTGGAGACTTATTGGATTAAGAGCTGGAGCTTGACAAACACAGAAGCCTCACGGCGGAAAAGAACTCAACATCCAAGGTTTCTGTCATTGAACGTGTACAGACATAAGAAGCTAATGATTTTCAAACAGGAAATAAGTTGAAGAAAATAATTAACTTTACCTTTGGAGATGTAATTTCGTTGGATTATATTAATAAATTTTAATTTGTGTTACTTAGCTCTTCAGATCGTATGTTAAAAAATATTCGCACTTAAAATCACTAGATATAAGACTGAATCTATAAGCAACGGGATGATTGTACTATTTTAATTCATTGAAAGTATTTTTTTTTTTTTTTTTTTTAGATATAATTCAGTGTTTATAAAATTTTAAGATGATGATATTTTAAAATTATGAATTAATGAAATTACTGAACAAAATTATAATTTTGGCTCTGAAATCCAGCTTTTCAGCAATTTAGAGCTAACGAGTATTGACGTAAATAAGTTTCCTTTACTCATTCATGAACGCTTCCGTATTTGTTGTTCATCGTGAGTGCACATAATTTTGATCCACCTTGGCTGCTAACAAGCAGGGCGGTGGTGTAGCGAGCGTCTCAAGATCACCACTAAACCCAAACAATGGAGGGACGAAGGCCAGGCATTATCTTTTGTTAACCTACTCGTCGAATCAAGAACTTGTAGTGCCTCGATTCTGATGAGCACACGTGCCGAGACAGCAGTAATTTTTTAGCATCTCGACGTACGTGTGTTGGGAAAGAAAAATCAAAAGTGTGAATCGATTCGCAAAAAGGCACGTGCTGTTGCATGGATTAAAAAAAGGGAGTAATAACTCGTCGTCGCAGAGCATCACGTCCTTCAACTCCGGAGAGATGAAGTGAAACTCATGCATAGGAGTCAGCAAAACACGATGCACGTACATCATAAATAGGCAAACCCGCTCAGCGCGTGGGTAGAGCAGTTTGCATAGCTTCAAACGAAATTTTGGTCAGATTTTTTTTAAGTGAAGTAAAACGGACATTGTCCTAATCGAAAGATTTTTTTTAATAAAAACGAAATGGCACCATCAGTTTTGAACACGGTCCTTTTCGCATTATTTGCATGATCAAGAAAATGCGAAAAATCAGCAAAATTGTTGGAAAAAGTTCACTTTAAAAGTTTTATAATTCTTAAAAAAAATTATTATTATTTAATAATTTAAATTTTTGTTTAGTTTTGTTATAAAGCTGGTTAAGCAATTTTGCTGTTAATTTTTTTATGTTTCTTGATCATCAAATAGGGTCAAAGACCGTAACTGATTATGGTAGCTGATGTTTGGTTTTTTAATAAAAATATAAAATTTCAGCGAGTAAAAAAAGCCCCTTTTTATATCTCTTCCATGAAAGTCTTCTTGAGTTTCAAGATTTAATTAGTCGAATTTCCTATCTTATTATTAACGTTTTTTTTAAATCAACTTTTTGCAATTTTGACTTCCTCTTGGAGGTTGATGCCCTGTAAGTTCCACGTATTTTGTTGAATGCCGAAATTCAAGCCAATTTTTGTTTTTGCTTTTATTTTTATTTTAACTTCCTGTTAGAGGTTGATACCCTGTGAGTTCGACATTACTTGCCAAGTTCATAATTTTCCAGCGTGTAAATTGAACAATTTGCAAAAGAGTTGCCCGACCTTGGGCGTCGGAAAGACGCAAGCGCACCCTCCTGGTGTTGCCAAGGGTGGGCTGTTGTCGGGGCGGCGGAAAGAGCACGCAGTCGCTTATCACCACTCTGGGCACCGGCGGGCCGGATTAATATAAATAAGTGGGCAAATACTGATAAAGCAGTCCCTTTGACGCAGAGTGTGGGCCTATCTGTGTCCCGACGGGGTGGGTTGGGCGCGCACACGTCGATTTTCAATCGTCCATTAAAGACGAGAGGGCCGAAATTAAGCGCCGCTCTTTTTGCGAGTCACGACACTGGTCGATGTCTGGTGATAAATGCGCCGCTCGCGTTCTCCTTTTTTCCGGCGGCCTCTTTATATACGCCTGGTCAGGGCTGTAATTTGATTAATATTGCAAAGGGGAAGCCATCCATGGTGTGCATTGTGAATTTGTACACACACTAGTGGCAATTGGATAACACGCACGTGCGAAGGCTCCATTGTAGTTTTTTTCCAAGTTAATAAATTGCCTACGATTTGTGTAAGAAATTTACGCAACTAATGCGATAAAGGAACTCTTTGAATGCAAATATTGAAGCGGGTAAAAATATCTCTGCGCGCTCTAATTGGTTCAAATGAATGCTCCTTTGATATCTTATGAGGGCAACTCACTCAGACGCGCACTTTGAAATTGTATTGAGAAAAAATTGCCATAGAATTGTGTTTCAATTGAAAATTGAGACTGATAAATATTTATAAATAAAATAGCTTAATAAAATACTTATACTCAATCCCCAACCAATTAAATTATATTAAACAATTAAATTAAATGTCTCCTTTTACTTTTATTTAAAAATTAAAAATAATATTTTTGCGTGTAAAAGCAATGCTTTTAAAGCATAAATTCAACAAAATGCAATAATTGCATTGATTTAATCTAACTATTCATAGTTTTAAATTTAATTTCAATTAAATAGTGCAGGAAATGATATCAAATGACAATTTTGCATGGTACGGTTGCTTGTGGTTGCTCAGCATATAAATTCGGCCGGTGAAAATATTCATTATTTTGATTTTGCTTGGTCAAGAAATTTTCTTGAAATTGCCCAATTTTGCACGTTTTTTAAATTTTTTTTCTATATTTTTACAGTATATTGCAAGAGATTTTGTGATTTTATTCCTCATTCACGAGGCTGCAATTATTTTTATCTGACCTTTGCTCTCGGAATTCCAAAAATAAACATAACCCTTGTTCCACTGCATAAATTTATTCATCTCATTAAACCTCTTTGTCCCTGAATAGGTAATATCGGCAGCCAGCGCGATTTATAACTTCATTAAGGCGACGAAAATAGCCACTTTGACTACGCGGCGGAGGTTCCCCTTTGTGCTTTTATGATTGATATTCCACCGGTCTGAGCGCGAGCCAAAAGCCGGCGGTCCTCATTTTTTTATACACTGACCTTGGCAAACCAATGTTGAAAATATCCATCCAACTCGCTTTCGTGTACGACCCTTTGCAGAGGGAAATAAGAGAATAAAGAGAATTAGAATACTAAGGGCACCCATCTAACTAATAACACACACGTTACGTGTACAAGTAGTAACCGTGACCCATTTCCTCGAGAATCAGGCGTGCATTATACACATCATAAAACATATTTATTCACAGACAGGAAGAGCTACCCCCCTGCGACTCATCTATCAGAGGCACCTTCGCCACTTTCGCCCTCAGAATGTATTAGCGCCCAAGGATGGCATTGCCGAGGGATATCGCAAAAGGCAGCAGCCCTTTTCTCGGGAAATAGTGCTGTTGCGTCGTAAAGTAAGAAGCACCTGCGACCATAAGCATATCTGATAGTCCAACGCTCTCTTGGGGGCCGAAAGGTGTTGAATATTTAAAATTTTGCAAGGCTATTCACATAAAGTTTCTCGCTTAATGTTTCTGCTGGTAAAAAATAATATGCAGAATAATAAATTTTGCACAGATTGGCGAATCTTTTTGCACGCGCTAAGTAAAAAATACAGAGATAAAAGAAAAAGGGAAAAATAATAATTACGGCTGGTTGTGATGTGAGATGGCCGAGGTTTGATTTTGAGAATAAGGAAATATTATTTGATACGCTTACTGAATAGCTACTCTGACTAGAATATATAATAAAATTAATAATGGAAAATTAAAATTAGAAATTAAAAAAATTTAAATTGTAATCTTGACTACAATTGATGTTTAATTTTTGGAAATGCCAGTACATATGATTTTAAGATATTTTTAGAGTTAAAAATTAAATTAATGTAAAGGTCAAATAACAATAATGTAAATAATAATATCTTATAAAAAATTTTTAAAAAATTGTTGTTTCTTCTTTAAATTTGTTTTCAAATAGACGAGTTTAAATTATCAATGAAATAATACTATAATATTAAAATTTAATCATGCTAAATATTTTTTATTTAAATTCATTTTTAATCAGCAGATCTTAACTTTAAATAATGGTGTGCCTTATGTAAAAGTTGAGCAAGACATCAAAAAAGACATATTTCTTCATTTTAAATCTCAAAAATTAAAATTTGGGCAAATTTGATTTACTCCTGACAAGCTAGTTTACATTAATGAAGCAAAGGCTGCTTCATTGGCGCGCCAAAGGACACGGATCCTGCTTATTCCAGAAGGATTTGGCATATTATGTACTTACGCATTGACGAGCATCCCGTCGCAAGCCATGATTCAGCCGGTCGCCCCAGCACTCGCTGCTGATTGCTAATTAATCGGCGACAGTTTGGTCCTGGTGACATGCACGGTACGCAGCGGCGGACGTTCTTCGTGAGCAGCGTGTGTTTACCAGAGGCGGGCAAATTGTTCGCCAGCAGATATTCGCTCGGACCGCGACGAACCGGCATTAAAGGCAGGGCTGCGGTGCGAGAGCGAGCGAGGCGCCTGCTGGTGCGCCGTCAGATCGATATTGGCACACAACACTCCTACCCTCCCTAAACCCAGCAGGCTAGTGCAACGATAGCGCACCCTCAGCAGAGAGCAGCACTGGGTGCGTTCGCCAAGCTTCAATCCACTTAGTGTGTGTAATGCTAACGCCATAAAAAGTATTCACCATGTTATTACATTAAAATAGAACGCAGTAGTATGATTATTGGGCGCTGCCGACATGACTTAATTTTTGTAATTTATCCTTCTCGCTTTAAATGATGATTGACTATTGCATCGTTAACATTTTGTTTTAATTAGAAGAGGGATACAAATATTTTGTTATTACTAGAGGATATGATTATAAGTAATGGTACGAGTGGGTATGAGCTTTGACAACTTTTGAATAATAATTTTACGAGAAAATATCAGAATTACTTGAATATTTATGGATATCAAAATAAAAAGTTTCAACTTACACGGAGTTACATAATATTAAATATTATATTTTTTTGTATAAATGCCACTTTTTATTTGAAATTAGTTTCAACATAAACTCAAAATATTATATATTTAAAAAAAATCAAACCAAATTGCATATTTCTCCATACCAAATTTCTAATTTTAGAGACTAGTTCAGAGAAAATAAATACATTCTGCATAAAATTGTAAACTGTTTAAACAGTAGATTTTTCGTTTTTTTTCACAAAGGATCACAATTTTTTGATAATTTATTCAATAATAATTTTTATTAACATTAAGAATGATTGGCACAGCTGATACGTTTTAAGGTATACTCATAAAACAGTCTCTCATGTGGGTCCAAATGGCCACATTCTGAAAAAAATTGGTTTCTTAGAACCAAATGCATACTTATATCAATCAATAAAACAAACCTTTCGAGATGCCTTTGCTTGTAGAGTTGCGAAAGACTTGAGGGTTTCTTTCAGATCTTGATTTTTTTGCTTCTTGAACCTTTCATGATCATCAAGAGCTTCATCAGAAAATTTACTGAATAAAAGAAAATAAAAAATTAGCAGCAATTCCTGTTTAAAAGGGCAAGTTTATTTACTCGAGATCAGCCTGAGCTGTGCTGACACTGCTATTGTCCAGGTTCAATTTCTGATCCAACTCTTCCAACTTTGCCTCCCTAATCTCCTCACTATCAACAGCTCCGAACAGTCTTAACATCAGGCTTGATTTCCCTGAAATAAAAACCATTAAATATGATTGATTAGATTTGTTTTAAATAAGAAACCTTGTTGGATTCTTTGCTTTTCAGCATTTCTAGCCTCAACCACTGATTTGGCTCTTTCTAAGTTTAATTGCATCAGTTCTTGTTTTTTACAAACAACTTGCAAGGCATTTGCAAAATAAAGATACTCCTTCAGTTGATCTGCAATCAGTTCCTCCTCTTCCAGCACCGTGTCAATGCAAGTGGCATAAGAATCCATGTAATGCCCAGCTCTCTAGAAAGTTTAAAAAATGAATAAATTAATGAAATCCCAATCAAAAACTGGCAACGCACCTGAAGTCCGTCGCCCATTTCTTTCTCGATGGCACTCCATTCACTAAAAACACGGCCGTAATTCTGATGCAGTTTGTGCAAACAATATTGCTTCTCGAGCAATTTGGCTCTCACTTTTAAGGTACTGGTAATGTTCATCTAATTTTGAGAAAATGAAGTGGAATACTTTGTTAATTAAAAATTCAACCTACTTGTAAATCAGATCCGTATTTGTGTAAAATTTGGAATCGTTTATCTGAATTTGAACTTTTCAGTCTACTCGGCAAGCTCAGTGACTTCAGTTTTGATTCGGCTTTGTTGATGTAACCAGCTGAAAGTCATCCAAAATAAGCAAAATAATACAACAAAATCTAAAATATGTCCTCATATCCTACCATATTCCTTAAGTTTGTCTTGCCAGCCTTCGTTCTGCTGAAGGAAGGACAGAAAAATGGCATCCCTGGACAGCACAGGGTGTGATGCAACCCTAATGAGGAAAGTTTCCAAACTGGCCCTTCGTCTGTCAACGAAATCTGGGTCGAAGGTGTCGGAGGAGTTCGTCGTGCTATTCCAGGAGTAGACAGACTTTTTCTCAGGCAGGCAAGGGCAGATGATGAAGGGGTACATGTTGTCCAAGTACTCTCGCAGCATCTCAAACTGACTGTACCGACGCCACAGGGAACTTAGCTCACGAGCCATTGGCCACTTGCTGCCATTCATTAATCTGTAAAATTGTTTTAAATTTTAATCATGACAAATATCACGATAAAATAAAAATAAATATTTTTGTCTTATTAAAAATTCAAGATTTACATAATTATATTATATTAAGTAAAAATGCAATTAATTACTTAGTTTCAATTAAGTAGACTGTGTAGAAATCTTTTATATTCAGGGCACCATTTGCCCTCTTTTCGGCCTCAGTCACCAAAATCTCGAGGTGCTCAATTAGCGTTCCGGTCATCACCTGCAAATAAAATATTCCATTCATTCCACACCATATGGAATCGAAGCTCGAAGTGTCAAAATGACTCAAAAATATCACCTCCTCTTTGGACTCATCAGCAGAAGCGCCCTCAGGATTTTCCGGCTGCTGCTCCATTTTTGTGTCTGAAAGGTGCGAATTCAAAGAAGCAGATAGTTCCGAAGTGGCTATTCATCAGTTTTGTTGTTTTCCCCAAGCGCCATGACCCACCTGCTGGCCGTCACAAGAGTCACGTGACCCGCCGAGTAGTAGTAGTTGTTGCGCTCGACGCGAAACGGCGCTTGCGTGTGCTCCAAGCCTAATATGACATGTAATACTTTATGGGTCCAAGGTCCAAGACACAAAGTTGTCCCAAGAGTTATGTGAATTGTGCTGTTGGTAGAGGAAAAAAAATGACTGAAAGAAAGAGGGAAAAGATTAGAATAATCGTCTGGAATATTTATTTATTTAAAATTGTTTAAAAAAATTAGTTGTTTTAATTGCAGTTGTTTCTCGATGGATTGTGTAAATCGTTTATATTATTATTTTATTGGAAATTATATTCGCCTTTTATTATAATATCACAATAGTCAATTTACAAAACCTAATCAAGGAAGCTGCCGTTTTTAAATTAAAAAAAAGAACACAAAAAACCCTCAAATTAAATCTTTTTTTTACAATATTAAACACAAATTTTTTTAAGACTATCGTATTTTGCACAAGGTTGCACAAGGTATTTAAAATATTTGAAGCCTTATTATTGTTAATTTTTTATTTCTTATTGTAGTTTCTTTGTCCAAATTGTTACATATCACGTTGTTCGATTGTTTAAAACAATTAATTTGAAAGAAAAGGAATTGTTGGGCAAAACGGCACCACAAGCAAGAATTTTTCTAAAACTTCCAAGTTCATAATATTTTATGCGTTTTTTATTAATATTTTGATTAATTATCAATTTATAGATCCTGAGCATATTTTCATTAGCTTTGATTGACGAATTGGATAATTTAATATCATGATGAATATTAAGTAGAAAGTTTATTATTAAAAGTTTGTTTGATATAAAATTGTGAAGTTCTGACTCACAAAGATTATGTAATTAGAATAAATTTGAATTATTTAATTTCTATTCAAAACTGAATTTAAAATTTTAAAATTTACATATATTAATTACCTTGACTCGTAATTAGATATTATATATCAAAGCGGCTGAAAATTGAATTATAAAGCCACAAATGATTAATTTGATAATTTCGTCAGCTGAATATTATTAGGATTATTTTATATTTTATGGTAAACATATTCATATTGGAAAGGCATTAATATATTATGTTATATTATATTATTCTATACATACATTTACATAAAATAACTATTTTAAACAAAACGCAGGAGGTATATGAGCACAAAAAGCAAAATGCGCGTCGTCGCGTGATTTTTGGTTCCAAGCTTTTACAAAAAGACCTCGTCTCTTGTGCGTTGCGTGAGCCAAGTTTTGTGGAGATATAATAAAAAAATACGCTATGCTTCTCATTGTTAGGCAAAGTGGAAGCAGAAAGCGCCGACAATATTAAAAATGTTATATTCATGTTATTCCAAGAACCAACCTCAGAAAAAATCTTTTAAATTGGGACTAATCAATATTAACGTTATAGTAATTCTCTGAAAAATATTTCAAACAAAATTACTTAAAATTCAATTTTTTTTTTAACAAACAAAAACCGCGCAAAAATTAGAATTAAAATTTAAATTCAGTTGAAAAATTCGCAACATTATCGCTCAGGTTAATTTAATTTGGTATAATGAACGATTTAAAATTTAATCAATTTAATTTCACTATTTAAAACATATTTCTTGAATCTGAAATGAAATTTTAACATTGGTTGTTTTAATCGTTTAAATCATTCTAAATTGACTCTGGTATAGACACATGATTTAATTTGTTCCACATACGACCACAACCTTGTTTGCGATTTCGCGGTCGATAGTCCGCATTTAAATTCCCTTGGGCAATCATGATCGAAAGCGACCAGACGATCATAAAATCCACCTAGACGCGTGATAGGGCATCAAAATGGAAAAACCTTTCAAACACAAACGTGTCCCCCTGTTAGAATTTAGACCAACCCGCGATGCGTCGCCGCAACGTCAATCAATGGCCTGTGGGGCCACGGAACGTGGCCCGGATATAATCACCACTACCAAACCACTAACAAACATATCAATTGTGAAAAGCAATACTAAACGTAAACTTCTGTTGAATTTCTCTCTCTTGCATGTGCAGTAAAAGGTCATTAGATGAAAAAAAATTTGTGAATTAAAATTTATAAAGAAAATTGGACATAAAATGAGCATTAGCAATAAGTAATTTAACAAAAAAATATTTGATAAAGAAAAAATATTAAGAAGAAAATTATTGTGAAAAAATAGAAGTTAAAATTGATCTGCTAGATCTCAGAAGAATTTTTTTTACCATAGTTAATAAGTAGGATGTTTCAAAAAAATCACGGCAATTTTGGGGAATTCATTTGAGTTTTGAGTAGCTTTGAGTGTTAGGCTGCCAGTATAAATGTACAGAATTCTTTGACTACTTTGACGTTTTTAGCGCGTCAAAAAGTGCACTATGTCGTCATTCATAATCAGGAGGACTGGAGGTGCCGCAAGCGCAAGGTGCTGAACGTGCCTCCTCAAATTGTTGGAATTCCTACTCATTCGGCAGGCTTTCCAGCCGATAAGCACTGAATGGAGCTTGGCAGGATTGGGCAGGATCATAGCCTATCCAGAATCCAGATGAGAAAAAATATTTATAAAATGTATGCACAATGCATAATAATAATTTATTTAATTTCTAATAATTTAAAACATATATTATGGATATTATGTAACAAAATATATTCTTGAAATTAATAATTTAAATATTAATTATTTTTACATCATTATAATAAATTCAAATTATCAAATGATAATTGATTTGAGTGAACAGCAACTGCGTCGACCTTGGGGGTCGGCGGAATGGAAAAACGAGCACAACATAATTTTGGCGCAGCGTCGTGCATTTATTTGTTGGACGCAACCAAGGCGAGAGAGAGAGAGAGAGAGGATTGCGAGTGTGTGTGTCGGCGGCGGCGGCGGTCGCTCGGCAGGGCCGAGAGGGGTGGCGTGGCGGCGGCGGGCGCGGGGTGGTGCGGCGCCGCCTGCCTCCGCAGACGGCGCAGTCTCTCGCACTCGCTCGACCGCTGAGCATCAGCCGCTCCACCGGCAAGCAGGAAGCCCTAGCAGACAACAAGCGACACGCAGAAGGTCAGTCAATCCTCGTGCACCCCGACCTTGACTTTATTTCAGAAAATTCGTGCGTTCCGCCACGCCATCGTTTGGCCGATTACACTAATTAGGTTAATTGCCACACGCCGGAGACAGACAGCGTTTCCATTTGAAATAATAATAATATGCTAACGACCTCCCTATCTATCAAATCGATTTTATAATTTCCTCCAGTTGCATCGTGCATTTTTAAATTTTTAATTAAATATAAATTGAGGTCAAATTACAAATCCAAATTTTTTTAACGACTCTGCTATTTTTGTATCTTTTTTTTTGCGTTTTAAGAGATTTTCCAGTTCGGAAAGGAATGTGCTCTGTTTATTTTTTTCCCCATCAAAAAGGGCTTTATCTCTTTGGCGTTGCCTATTATACTGCGACAATAAATCACCGTCGGTGACATGAATGTTTGAACGAGTGGTGATTTAAACGCCGTTGCAATTCCAGTCGGCGACGATGCGAAGCGATCGCGGGATTTCTATAAATGATTGGGTCGCCAACGCCGGCTGGTGACGTTATATCATCTTCCATCTTTCGCGTCTCCTTTTTGTGGCAAATCGATCTATTTAATAATATGACTGTGCTGCCGTAAGTTAATATCATTTGACGGATTGGTTGGGATGAGAGAAAGAAAATGTAACTAACTGCCTGATTGTTATATTGCCTTTGCTGGATTTTTAAACTGATTTTGGTGTGTTCGGAATTAAAAAATTGGAAGTATTTTTTCTTTTATTAATTTAGAAGGAATTTAATTGCAACTCCTCAAAAGAAAAATGGTACGCACCTATATTAATGCTTTGGTGGGTTCGTTTCCAACCTGCTGCTAATATTGATCTAATTTTATATACGCGAACAAAATCAATCGTCTATTATTATAACGTTTTCCTTTTTATCATTCCGTCATACACATTGATTTTCTACGAACTTTCTGTGACAAAAATGCGAGCCCTTGTTTGCGTGCATGTAAACTTTAGAAAGAAAGCTTATTATGTAATACTAAGTACGCTCCATACACCCTTCTATCCGCATAGTGGCAGTGTCGTCGCCGTTGTGCAATATAGAGCCGCTGTCGTCCGGGGCGGTTGTTGCTCGCTGTTTTTTTTTTATCTCTTTTATTTTCTTACCATTGTAAAACGTCCACGGGATGGCTTCGTTTCAAGAAACGGTGTATTTTTATGCAAATTACAATACAGGTGATCCTTCATCTCGAAGTCTGATATTATTTTTTGTATTTTTGCTCTTCTGGGGCTACTCCACTGTGCAGAAAGTTAACGTTTGGGAGTCGCGAGATGCCCTACTATTTTGTTGAGCCGATTACAAAACGCGACGGAATTTTCCGCGTAGTTTATGGGAGAGCAGATAAAGAACCTTTCAGTAAATTGGGTCCCTCCGCCGCTTTGTTTTAATAATATGTCCTTAACAAGTTAAAAAAATTATTTCTTAAGTAATATGAAAATTTAAAAGAAGTTAGCGAGAACTCCAGAGTTGAAATGTTTTGGCATATTATAATTTATTGACACTAAACCAATAGTTATTCTAAAGCATAAATAAAATTATAAAATGTAACGCTTGAGAAATGTTTAGTTTTATAAATGAAGGACTTGTTCATTAATAAACATGTTTATGTTTTTAATAAAAATGTAAAAAATATATTATATTAATTTACAAAATTTTATTTTTAAAAGTAAGAGGTAACAAAAATACAATTTTAACGAAGTTAGTTATAAAAATTGTTTGCATTATAGCTTAAAATGCAAAAGTAAACTACATAAATTAAAATCTCTATATTCTCATAGTAGGAGTAAAAATTAAGTCAATAATATGCTCATCTCACATTTAATAAATTGTAAAAAAAAGTGTGTGGAACACGCTGTGTAAGGTTGAAGCGAGATTCGCAGGCGCCGCTTGATTTTTTTGCCCGTTTTATAGGAAAAGGGAAAACGCGTGGCGTGGTGCCAGCAGTGCTGGGAAATACGGTGAAGTGCACGGCAGAGAGCTTTGAATTTTTCAACAGGCATTGAAAATCCGCGCTGCCTACGGATGATTTATCGCGTTTGCTCTCTGGCTGGTGTTTATTATTCGGGATGTAATCTAGAGTTTATTAAGGCGAATAAAAGGGCTGGCGCGTTGATGCTTTTATGTGTGTCGCGTTTTGGTGCAGCGCCGAGTGCAGATTTTTACGGCTTTTTTCGCCATTACGTAAAAGTACCAGCAGCCCCGTGGGCCATTAATTGAGTTATCATAACGGGCCAGTCTCGGTCGCTTCTGCTCCGAGAGAATGACTGCCCTAGCTGCCGAAAGCAAAAACAAACAAATGGCCGGTGTCCGATTAAAAAAGCTGACGTTTAGATTCGCTGGCTGACAATGCATAATGGACCGATCGGCCGCAGGTCCACAAGTGACGTCAGCAGATGCGAAAATAAAACTCTGGGGGGATATTTTTTGTTTCCTCACATCCGAATTTGACCGGAATGCTAAATAAAAGGGCAACTTTGTACGTGGCGAAAAGCAGCTGGCGAGAAAATTTTGAATGATTTATTTCTGCGCACTTCTCAGTCAGGCTGTCTGCGAGCGGAATATTTATTTCTCATCTATCTGAGGTTTATTTTGCTCTCCCTGCCGAGATCAAAAGGGGATCTCTCAAATTATTGCAGTTTTCTGACGTGCGCGCGTATATACTCGGCGTCTTGTGCGCCGTTATCCATTCAAAAGCAGACGAGCTATATATTTATCTCACTCTTTCGTTCGCGTACTCACAATTTTGCCGAGGCTCTCAGAAAGTGATATTCATATACTGCTTTCATTTTACTGCTCTCCTCGGGTGGAGAAAATTTCGCAAGCAAATCCTTCTTCTAGGAAGTGGATTGGCAGAGTGTATGACGACTATTTCGCATCTCACATTTATGGTGCTTTTGCAACAGCAGTTTTGCAGAACAATACAACTTTTTAAAAAAAACAAACACGACTGCAACCTTTGTTAAAAAAGAGTTATTTGTGCAGAAAAAGGCTGTTTCTGTTAGTGAAGATGTAAAAGGCTACATGAAGGACTTACCATAATTTAGTTGCGGCTTTGTGTGTCTCCTTTGTTGGCTGGCGTTTTAGTTAGTGACAAAATAACCTCTGCCATTTGTGCTGCTTATTCCTATGATTTAAATAGAATAATAAATAATTATATGGTAACTACCAGCAGAGTAAATTTATTTTAAAGGTTCAGAAAATCAATGGCTATAAATTATTAAATACCTCTAAAGATAATTTTTTGCAACAGTAAATTGATTAATTTTCTTAATTTAAATGGATCATTATTTGTTATTTTTTTAACATTTTAAACCAAAACAAAGCAGGCTGAAAATAAACAAAACATAGTTTGATCTTTAGCATTATTTTTAGTATATATTATTCTGAGCCTGCCAACAATTTTTAGATTAATAAAAATTATTTTAGAGGAACATGTTGAGTGCTAATTTGACTAATGATATTTATATCACCACATAGCAAAATATCACATAAATAAATCGTGAAAACAAGAGCTAGATAATGGACAAGAGTTGGAATTTTACTTCTTTTCGAGTGAGAGTGTGGCTCACAGTCTTTAGGACACCATTGCAGCTTAAATTAACGCCGAAGCGAGTGTCATTGTTTGAAAGTTTGTCTGCTACTAAATATATACCAAACTCACACGAACAGTGGCGCGAGTCGCGCCGACTGCGCGAAATTGCGACACACGCGCCGAATGCACCAAGACCAAAGAGCTCATTAGCGTTTGGCACGATTTAATGTCTAGTTCCTGTAAGAGCGCCGCCGCCAATGATTTACGCACATTCATAGGCCCGAGATTTGTATTTATTTTGTCGGACTCGAAAGTTGCCGGCGTTCAAATTGAGCGGCGTAATTGGGCGAGGTTGTAAATAAACAGAATGCGAGAGAGCGGAGAACGCCGCTGAAAGAGGAAAACGCGATTTTGTGAAAGGGCAGGAAAAGGCTGCTTTCCGAAATTCACGCTCGCTCTAAACTGCGGAATAAATTTGCCTAAATAATTTGAATGAACGAGAGAGATTAGACTTCCACAGATGAGTAATTTTATTTTGCTTTTTCCATTTTCAAAGTTTAATATGCTCAATGAAATGTTTCGCATTGCGGTTCATGCTAAGCTTAAAAAATAAAATATATTAAGAATCAATTGAAATTTGCTTGTTTTGAAGAGTAATTAAAAACCAAATGAATCAATTTTTCAGAAATTTTTCAATATAACAGTTGAAATTATTTAAAAAAAATCCTGAAATTGTAAAAGATTAAATATGCTGAGAAAATTATTGTACTTCACTGTCAAACTAAATTTGTTGTTTCAGCACATTTTATATCATGGAACTTTTGGCAAAAACAAATAGTTTGGAATGGAAAACAAAGTCTATAGAAACTTCAGCAACATTCAAGTTAAATTTCCTTTTTTCTAATAAAATGACTTTTTGTTATTACATTTTGTTCTTTCTTATTTACGCTGGACTTTTGCAAACAGTTCTTGAGGTTATGGCTGCAGGAAAATAAAATGGAATCTCATTTACAAAAGATCTTTACTACTGATCTTTATATATTTGATGTTTACCACTAGAGAGGAATGATCCACATTGGATTTTTATAAATCATTTCACCGGACGTTGTTAATCGTGAAAAGCCCTTTTTGATTGCTTTCATGAGCAAACCGGGCCATTGGTAATCAAAGGACCGCCCGGTCATCGGTCTTAAGTGGCTCACCTTTTTTTCTCAAAGCAAGCGGATCAGTTCAAAGTTTGCTGACCGCCTTTCACATACACGACCACTTTCAATTTATGGAGAACAAGCGAAAAGGCCTGGGCAATAAATTCGTCTATTCACTCCACTCTTGGCGCGCGAGGAAGAAAGTAAAAAAAATCTGAAGCCGCAGTGCGCCCAACTCGCCATAGGTAAAGCAGCAGCCAAGTGAAGGACGCCCTCGTGCAGAGACA